CTCTTCCTCTCCTTTCCTCCTCCTCCTCCTCCTCCTCTCTCCTCCCTCCTCCTTCTATTCCTCCTCCTTCTCCTCCTTCCTCCTCCTTCCCCTCCCCCTCCTCTTCCTTCTCCTGCTTCCTCATCCTCCCCCTCCTCCTCGTTGTCCTCATCCCTCTCCTCCTCGAGGGCACCTGCTCTTGAGGTGAGGTGGCACGCAGCGGCCAACACACAAAAATCGCGCCATGCTTTCGGAGCGACATCCGGACCCTGCCCCCACCAACCATCGACTCTCCAGATGAAGGCGCTGCAGGTCTGGGTGCCGGTTGTCGGACCCCGATGGGGGCTCCCATTCGAGCGGAGACCCACACCCGACAACACGCACGGTCGATGGGGGTCGGAGGTAGGGCTCCGACTTCGCCACGAGCTCGACGAATTCCGAACCCGACCCCCGCAGCCCATCGAGCTGCCTGAATCGAATCTCGGCGAGGGTAGGGTTTTGGGGCTATAGCTCGGCATTCGGGCGGCCGCTCGGGACCATCTGGGCACCCCGGGAACGTCCTCGGCGAGAAGCAGCTGCCGGACGGCTCCCCGAGGCGGGAGACCCGCCGAGAACCATTGCTCCCGAGCGCGAAAAATACCCGTACCCTTACCTAGACAGGGTGGCAAGGGGCTGGGGGGGCGGTTCGTCGCAGCTGACGGCGGCTGCACAAGTGTAGAAACGACAGCCGATCGAGCATTACAGACCGCTGTCTTCTCGGGGCGCACGCTAGCACCGATCGCACGTGCGTTCGAATCGGCGGAGTGCCCGACCCTGCGTTGGTTGTTGTCGATGTAGACCAACTACTGCGGAGGCGCGCCCCCAGACACACATCCGGGCGTTGAGGAGTCAACGCGCACTCGGGGGCGCATGCGAACAACTCTGGCGCGAACGTCATTGCGCGACAACCGCCTTATCGCGAATTGCTCGATGCAGACACATCGCGAATCTGTGCCCTGGGCGAGGTCGCCAGAGGCCGCCCCCCTTGGACGGCCGTCTGCGGATCACCCCAGCTAGGTACGGTTGCCCCATGAAAACCCAAACAACATACCCGTACCTAGCCGGGGTGCCGCAGCTCACCCCAGCTAGGTCCGGGTATGTTTCGGTGGTTTCAGGCAGGTCCCCGTACCTGGGCCGAGGTGGCGGCAGGCCCAAAACGCTCTCGAGCACATATCATGCCCTCCAGAGCCGTCCCCGACGTGGCCGCTGCGGCCCCCCTGGGGGCGCGACATTGCAACGTCGTTCCTCAGGGCAGGCCCAGACGCATTGGTTGCCAGGATAGCGAGGAAATGCAACTCTTGATCGATTGGGACAGGCGCCGCCACATACGGGCGGCTTTGAACCGCGCACGCACCACGATGCCCCGAGACGTCCCTAACAAAAACCAGCGCTTGTCGCTGCAATCAGACACCCAACCATCGAGCGCGCCGTTGCGTCTTGACGCGCGGATGCTGCACTGGCGCGCGCGGGGCAAGCTGACCGGGCACAATAGCTAGCGCCCAGTCCCCCGGACGGCCCATCTCACCTTGGCTGGCCCTGGGTACGGGTATCTTTCGGACCAATGAATTGCGAAAAGGGCCAAAAGCCAAGCACCTCGAACCTCCGGCTTTCGCCGCCGATTTGCTGCGCGCCGCCGGCCTTCCCAGCGCAGCGCCGCGCGAGCCCCACGGAGCCCGACCTCGGTGCTGCTGCCGCAGCAGGCCGGGCGCCGGTTGCGCCCACTGCTGGCGCGCCACGCGCACCCTGGCCAGCCCGAAGTCGGTGACCTTCGCGTGCGGCACGTCCTCAGAGCGGCAACTCCCCCTCCTCCTCCTCCTCCTCCTGCTTCTCCTCCTCCTCGCTCTCCTCCTCCTCCTCCTCCTCCTCCTTTTCCTCCTCCTCCTCCTCCTCCTCCTCCTCCTCCTCGAGCGGCACGTCCTCAGAGAGGCAACCAAAGCAGGGCTCATTCCCATTGCTCCGACTCGATCCGATGGACATGACTGACATGATCAGTGGAATTTTACACCGCCCGCAAGTTCTGCAAGGCGGGGATTTATCCATATCCACCGCCTGGGAACCGACGTCCTGGTGCTCCAGCGGGCGGTGGATATGGACATATTTCGGCCCCCGGGGGGTTGAATATGTCCATATCCACCGCCTGTCGAGGCTCCGAGCGAAAACTGACCGTCCAGGCGGTGGTCATGTATGAATTCCCGCCTCGGGAGTTCATCGTGAGAGGAGGGGAAACCAAACCTTCGCAGGGGTCGCAGAACGCAGGGATCGCTCAAGGGCGTCCCTTGTCACCGTATTCATTTGGTATCGTCATGCTGGTTCTTCTAGGGGAGTGGACGACAAAATGCATAGCCACAGTCAGTCGACATCCAAGAAGCCGCATCTCATCAAGATACATTCTCTACGCCCACGACACGCTGTTAGCATCGGAGGACCAATGTGTTCTTCAAAAGCACTTGGACGTTATCGCAGAAATCAGGAAAGCATCTGGTTTGGAGCTCAACGCCAGCAAAACCATATTGCTAGACATTGGATGCGCGTCCACGGAACTTGGGCCGGGAGGCGAACCGATTCAGTGCCAAGACGACGCTGTATATTTGGGCGGCTACCTGAGCACAGACGGGAAAACCCCAAGACAGAGTTGACACGACGTATTGGTGAAGTGAAAGGGGCTTTCCAACAACTCGGTGCTGCTTGGAACCACGCAGGCGTATCTCGTCGACGAAGAGTTCTAGTACGGGAAACTTGTCCTTTCTCGAAGCTGCTACGTGGCCGTGCATCATGCCCGCTGCTTGCCGCCGATCGGGAAGAACGCAACGGGTTTGAGGCTCGTCGCCTTCGGAAGATCCAGGAAATCCCGCCGTTCTTCATCTCGAGGGTAGGCTGCCGAAGCGAGAGAGAGAGAGAGAGACAGAGAGAGAGGCACAGCTGAAAGTCTGTCGACAACCCCATTGCGGAGACAACACACATGGGAAACTCGCCAGAGATCAGCCTGGAGCGCTGCCTGGACACATGCTTTTCCAAGACGGCCAGGCGGGCGAGATCTTACCCAGAAGTTGGAAAATACGCCGCAAACGAGGACGACCTAGAATTCAATGACTACATGCACGCCTGCGCCCTGCACGTTGCGGGGGGCGATCCGGATCGTTTACAAGATCTTCTGAGAAGCTCGCCTGCGCAGTGGGAGGCTGCCGTGGTACAGTACCGCAGGCATACTTAGCTCAGTGCCCTCTTCCCCCAGTCCTTTCCCTTCGCCTTCCCCCCCTCCCCCTGCCCTCTCCCCTCCTGCATGTTGTCCCGTTGATGCATTGTCTTCCGCAGCCCGGAACTTCCCTACGCTCAGTGTCTGTGTTTCAGCGCTATTGCATTCGCGATGCAGTATTTCACATTTGTCTTTGGCCGTCGTATCGTGTGGATTTTCTGCCGATGCGCCGTCCAGGCGCGGCTTCGTGCGTGCGTGCGACTCGATCCGATTCCGATTCCACTCGACCTCGAATTCCGATCTAGATTTCGGCTTCTAAGTGGAAGACTGACTAGACTGCCGATTTCCGCCAGTTCGACTGCTACCGACTCGCCTGCCGATTTTCGCCGATTCGCCTGCTCCCAACTTGGCTGCCGATTTCCGCCGATCCGATTCAATACGATCGCCGATCCGACTTGTGGATTTGAGTCTGTCCAGTCTCGGCCCCGGAGACCCTCACAGATCGGTCGGGCCCGAGAAACACCGCAGAACGACCGAGTCCGCGCCTCTGGTGGTGGTTCCTCACCGTGTGGCAGGATTTTCGCGACGTCCAATCCCGCGGGGGATGGGGTGGGGAAGCAGAACGACATTGATTGAAGAAGAAACGCGCCATAAACCAAAACTTTTGGCGCTCCGCGCGGATCTCTTGGATCCGCGCTGGACACCCCTCCCTGGCGCGCGGTGCGCGCCAGGCGCGGCGCTGGAGGCGCCACCGGCAGGGAGGTGGCCCAGCGCGGATCGAGGCAAACCCGAATTCTGGCAAACTCGAGTCGTCCGTTCCCCGGGTTCTTCCCTCCTCTCGGCGCCGCGACGTGCTTGGCTGGCGCGGCTCCAAGAAATCTGGGGGGCCACATGCGAACCCCACCTCTACCCCCCACGATTTCTGAGCGATCAAGTGAACCCCACCCTCCCCGTTGGGGAATCCCACGACAGGTCCCACAGCAGCTAGACCTGATGGGAACTGTGTGAAGCCTTCAAGATGGACATCGCGAGGAGGTAAGTTTGTCCGCCACCCTACCCGAGGCACAGCGTGTGCCCTGCACCGGCTCAAAAGTCGAAGCTGCCCCCCTGAAGATCAAGGGAACTGTTGGGGGGTCGGGGTAGGCTTCGCATGTGGCCCCCCTACAATCCGCGCGGAGCGCCAAGAGCTTATGTTTCTGGCGTCTCCTCCCACAGGCGGATGTCCGAGGAAGAACAGAGGATAGCCGAACAATGCTGGAGCCTAGGCAAGAATGGCGGACACATCGCTCCAGAGCGTGTTTTTTTTGCACTCGTGTTGAATCTTCCCCCAGGCACAGGCCCGACTTGACGCCGGCCGAACCCGTTTCTCGGAGCAGGCCTTTCTGATCCAAGATGCACCACCTCGCGGAGGATCGGCAGCCTGGCGGCTGCCACGGCGTGGGGCTCGCCGCGCAGGCTGGGAGGTGGACCGCGCCCCCGCGCGCTCTTCGGGCGTTGGCAGCACTGGGTTTCGTGGAACCTGGTGTTGTGATTTATACCGGGGGCGCCCCCTCCCGTCCCATGTCCACCAACCGGAACTGCCGCCACCCGAAGAACACCATTTACAGCAAACCTAGTTGAGTGACTCTGGCCAACTGGGGGGCCCCAGGGCCCTACCACGAACCGGGTCCCCTTACCCGGGGTCCTGGCTACACCCGAGCCGTGACGGAGCCACGGCGCCAAGGACTCTGGCTGCTCCCGCCTCCGCGGGGGCCCTCGCATGGGCGCCGGGGGGGCGAGAGTCTCCCCGGGGGGGGGCCCGGCGCCGCGAGACGGGCAGGACGGTCGGGGGATCTGGCGCCCGATAGGGGGGCACATGCAAACCCTACCCCTACCCCCCACGATTTCTGAAAGGGAAGGTGGGGTTCACTCCGTTCGGGAGCTCCCCTGCGAAGTGAACCCCACTTTCCCCCTCAGAAATCGTGGGGGGTAGGGGTAGGGTTCGCATGTGCCCCCCTATCCGGAGGTCCACGCGGGCCTCGTGGGTCGCCTGCTGCGGGTAAGTCTATATTTGATGTGTTATATATATATATATATATATACGTATATATATATATATATATATATATGTGCGTGTGTACATATATATATATATACACACATATGCAACACGTGTTGGTTTTTCTACACCATTGGCCCCTTCACCAGCATTATCAGAGTGAGGGGGCCGAACGGTCATTCATTGTCCTTGGGTGCGTGGCTGAAGTGGAATTCCGCGGTGCGGTTTCTCGTTGTTGTTTGTTGTTGTTTGTTGTTTGTTGTCGTCGTCCCACCCGCAATCCGCCCCGCGACCCACCCGCGACCCAACCCGCGACCCACCCCGCGACCCACCCGCGACCCACCCGCGACCCACCCGCGACCCACCCCGCGACCCACCCCGCGACCCACCCCGCGACCCACCCGCGACCCACCCGCGACCCACCCGCAACCCACCCCGCGACCCACCCCGCGACCCACCCCGCGACCCACCCCGCGACCCACCCCGCGACCCGCCCGCGGCCCACCCCGCGAGCCACCCGCGACCCACCCGTGACCTACCCCGCGACCCACCCGCGACCCAAACCACGTTCAAGGTACAAACCACCATTTTCGGCGCCTGCGGCGGGCTTTTTTGCATTCCTTCCAGGTGGAGAGCCCGCGACCCACCCCGTGACCAACTCGCGACCCAACC